TAATTTGTAACTCCAAGATAAATACTTGTAAAAATTACCCTGCAATGGAATTAATAAAATAAATATTGGAAATATAAATATAAAAATAAATACTGAAAACATAAATATAAATTATAAAAAATATTTTTAAATGAGATAATATGTAATTAATAAAGGAATAATGGATGTTATGGAATTAAATACTTGATTGTATAATTGTATAATGTTATTATTCCTGATTTAATGAAATTAATTATAAACTATTATAATAAACCCTGGACTTGAAATAATAATTAACCTAGATAATTGAAAATAATATTTAAAGTTGAAGAAATTAAAAGATGATTAATGGATAAATATTAATATTAAAGATGATGACGAACTTGAAAAGATATTGGAATAAAATGGATGAAAGGTCTGATTCCCTTTCTAAAATAATTGAATCGGTGGTACCTTCTAAAGTAATGAAACAACAGTCTTACCTTTGGGAAAGGACTATAAACTCCTTAAAAGAACTGATAAGTCACCCTACTTAGGTAGTTCTTGAGAAAACTGGAAACCACCGGTGACATCTTCTAGTCATGTGATCAAACCTGATTTTAACAGTCCCCTAAAAAAGCTAAGATTTTATTATAAACAAACTTATTCCTTACTGTAACTTGCTTACATTAAACTTAAAAGCGTGATATAAAAGCATTCTTCGGGTACCCTGCTACCATTCAATTTATCACATATTTGAAATATGTGATAGTTGGAAATTTTATAATTTGCGATAAGATTAAATAAATAAGTTCTTTAAAAATAAATGAGCTCCCTTCCCCTCCCACACTAAATATAATTTGTGAAATTAACTCCTATTATACAAATTAAAATAAGGTAATATTATATTTGATAGAATTTTTCAATTTTTTTTTTTATTTTTTATTTTTTATTTTTTATTTATTTTTTATTTTTTTACTTTTTCTATTTTTTTTTATTTTTAATTTATTTTCTTTATCTTTTATTTTTTATTTTATTTTTTATTTCATATTTTTTTTAATCTTTCTAATATAAAAATAACATATTAAAACAAATATAAAAATAATATATAAAAATAATATATAAAAACAATATGTAAAATAATATATAAAAATAATATAAAAATAATATGCAAAAATAATATATTAAAATATATATTAAAATAAAAATAATATATAATATATAAAATAAATGTTATATTATCCTCTTTATCTATATTGACGTTTTCTTTAAATTTTTGGAATCGAATCCATTCAGTTGAAACATCAGAGAATGTTCATTTTTTCGTTCGACTTTGGATTTCCTATCCTCATAAATAGGTTTTTAAATAGACGATTTATGGGGCTTTATTAAATTAGGATCTATAAATTTAAAAAATTCAAAAAATTCAAAATTTTGTAACCGATCATTTTTAAATAAAATTATTGATGAATATACCTGAAGATTTTCCAGATTTTATTTCTTCCAATAAATCATGCAATCCATGAAGAGTATGAATATATCGGCCAATATAACATGATTGTGGGTGTAATTTATTTGAATATGAAAGTAATTCAAATAATTTTTGCTTTTGAGATTTTGATGTATTTTTTTGATTTTCATCAACAATTTTAAGTTGTCGCATAACATCATCATCCACAATATTATCTTCAAGTTTAACTAATATTTCACTAAATAAATGAACTAATCCAAAAGAATTTGGCCGTTCAGAAGGATCATCACTCCAACATTGATACATCAACTTTAAATACCATTCTGGAATCAAATTTAACATAAAATCAGGAACCTTTGGTCTTACGCCATTACATATATCAATCATCAAATAAGTATCATGTGCTTGGTCAGAAAATGGTTGTTGTGCAGTAATTAATTCATACATAATTCCACCAAAACTATAAATATCACACTCCGTTGTAAATCTATTTCCTCTTAATACCTCAGGTGGAATATATGGAATTGATCCATAAATTTTGCCATAATTTAAAATTAAATCATTTTCCAATTCACATGAATCTAAATCTATAAATAAATCTATAACTAAATCAGGATCAGGATCGTAAATTAAAATATTTCCGCTATGAAGGTTACAATGAACTAAATTTTCATCATGTAAGATTCTAAGACCCCATGCTATTGAAAACAATATGTCTAATTTTTGTTTCCATGCTAAATCCAAAAAAGTTTTTGTTAAAAAATTATGTAAGTCTTCTTCAAATAACTTCGTAACAAAAATGTAGTTTTGTGTAGAAGGATTTTTTGAAAATGCATAAAATTTAGCAATAAAGTCGTCTTCGTAATCATCATCATCAACACGATCATTAATAGTCTTTATCTTAATACGAAAAATATTAAGATAAATTAATAAATTACAAAATATTATTAACAATTCAACTTAGTTTCTAAATATGAAGAAACATACCATTTTAAAAAATTCAGCTATATCAAATCTAGAATCTTTTATTTCTTTCAAAGCAACTATGTTGCCTATTGGATGATAATTCCAATCCCGCTTGATAAAATTCCATTTCCATTTTATTCCATTTTCTAGCTCGGCAGAATACACAGATCCACGACCACCATCTAGTACGTGTTTGATATTTTGAAAATTATCATAAGGTATCCATTGTAATTTATTGTATTTGATATTTATTTGAGATTCTTGGATAATTTTATCGATGTTAACATTCCCACTAGACCAAGTTTTAAATTCTTTAATAAAATGTTCTTTGGTGCACAACTCACAAAATCCGCTTGAGCAAAAATAACGATTACCAAAACTTTTAGAAGAATGACCGGCCGGACAGTACTTTTTTCCCATGTCTCAAGAAATAGAAAAAAATTAAAGAATTAAAAGGAATGTTCGTTTTGAAGATTTTTATTCCAAATTTATATAATTCGATGTCTGAGGCCAATCATTGCCTTTTCTGATTGTATTTATTTATTCTATTAATTTTATTAATCATGTGATAAACATGGAAGTTATTTCAAATATGTGATAGAATAATAGAAGAAATTGTATTTCGGATTACAAGTTCTTTAATGGACAAGAATTAAAAGCAACAAAGAAAATTTAAATTTTTATTCAAATGGAAAAGGATGTCACAATAAATTAGACGATAATAAGCATCGAGCGCAAGTAAATATTAATAAATTTATTCTTAATAAATTTTATTCATTCATAATACAAAGATTTAATATTTTTATTCTTATATATTTACTTTTAATGTATCATAAATCTTAAATATCTAGATATGAATGAAATTCATACTTGTCGAGACTATTTAAATTTTAACTGTGTCTAAATAGTATGAATAATAAACTTTAATATTATTCCGAATCTCAGCAACTTATGAATTATGGATTCATATGAAAAAACACCGAAAGGGGAAAAGCAACCATTTTAGATTGCTGAATTTTTGACACAAAATCTACCCTCAATCTTCATTTGAATTATTTGAATTCAAATTCAAACAATCAAATTGATAAAATTGATTCTGATCTCGGACCTTATCGCAGAAACTACAATTACAGAATCCCAAAATAGTTTGAAATCACAATCATGACTCAAGACGAAATCGTGATGCCTCCACTACCATCTCTTCATCCACGCAGAAGAACTCACGAGTATCATCACAAGTCTCTCCATCTCCTAAATTGATCGAAACTTCAATAATAGTCAGCAACCTTCTTTGTCACCTTCTCCAACTCAAACCAAAACATCAACACGCAACCTAGTAATAACCATAATCACCATTAAACTCCAATATTATCAATCTCAACATCATCACAATATTTAAGTCAAATACCAACATCAGAGTTCATTAAATAATCATAATCATTATCTCATACCGGGACTTCACATGATATTCAATCATTTCATTTCAAGTGATTCGTCAACAGCAACAATAGTCATAACGAATCCGATCTGCTTCTCTTCACAACTTCATCATTATCAACAGCATCAACTACTACAACAACAACAAAGACACTGCTCTACTGCTTCTACACGATTCAATACTGATCACGAATGGTTAACTTTATATCCAATCATAGACTATCCAAAAACAAATGTTCCAAATATTAATAATAACGACTACAAAAATGGCTAAAAACGATTGCGTAAATATTTCACGACAAATGTTATGACTAATTCAGTTCAAAATTCTGGTATAATGGTTAATCAAACTCCCCTATGATGTTTTACTCTTATGTGATAACTAATCAGATAGTAATTAAGTCTAACATAATTGACAATAGTGGTGTGTTCAGACTTCTGCCTTTGAATTTTCTTTTCCTCATTAATATGTTATATCATAAGTATTATTGACATCTAAAGCAGTTGGTTCATTGGACTTTAATAATAAATTAGGATCTATAGATGAAAAATTTTATAATTAATTAATTATTTATTTAAAAATTCTTGAAACTTATTCTAAAAATTTTACCTGCAGATTTCCAGATTTGAGATCCTCCAATAAATAATGCAATCATGAAGAGTATGAATATATCGGCTAATATAACATAATTGAGGATGTAACTTACTTGAATATGAAAATAATTTAAATAATTCTTGCTTTTGAGATTTTGATGTATTTTTTTGATTTTCATCAGCAATTTTAAGTTGTCGCATGACAGCATTATCCACTAAATTATGTGATAGCTCATAAAATAAATCGGCTAATTCAGTAGCAGTTGGACGTTTGGAAGGATCATCACTCCAACATCGATACATCAAGTCTAAATACCATTCTGGAACCCAATTTAACATAAAATCAGGGAACTTTGGTCTTACACCATTACATATATCTGCCATCAAATAAGTGTCAAGCGCTTGGTCAGCAAATGGTCGTTGTACAGTAATTAATTCATAAATAATTCCACCAAAACTATAAATATCACCCTTCCATGTAAATTCATTTCCTCTTAACACCTCAGGTGGAATATATGGAATTGATCCAGAAAATTTGGTATTTTTGATAGAGTTTAAAATTAAATCATTTTCCAATTTACATAAGCCTAAATCTATTTCTAATCCAACATTGTAAGGATTGAAATTATCGTATAACAAAATATTTCCACTATGAAGGTCACAATGAACTAAATTTTGAGCATGTGAGATGTCAAGACTTTCTACTATTGATGCTAATATGCATATTTTTGACAGCCACCCTAAATCCCAAAATTTTTTGATTAAAAAATTATGTAAGTCATCATCTAATAAATTCATAACAATAATGTAATTTTATGTAGAATGATTTTTTGAAATTCCATAATAATTAATTTTACAATCGTGAACAGTCAGACACTTAATGCGAAATATAATAAAATGTCAAATTAATAAATTACCAAATATTAATAATTATATTCAAAAATAAATAAACATACCACTTTAAGAAATTCAACTAAGTCTTACCTAGTATCTTTTATTTCTTTCAAAGCAACTTTGTTTCCTGTTTGATAAAATTCCATCCCCATTTTATTCCATTTTCTAATTTGGCAGAATACACAGATCCATGGCCCCCATCTGCTATGTGTTCGATATTTTGAAAATTATCATAAGGCATCCATTGTAACTTTTCATACAGATATTCGTAATTAATTTGAGATTCTTGGATAATCTTATCGGTGTTAGCATTCCCACTAGACCAAGTTTTAAATTCTTGATTAAAATTTTCTTTGGTACATAATGAATAAAATCTATTTACAGTAATTTCGTGACCTGCCATACAATATTTTGGTTTTCTATTTTTTTTTTATTTCTTGAGCCATGGGAAATGAAAGTAATATTCGTTATTGAATATTTTTTTTTAGTTTTTCTTTTTTCCGTTCCGAATTTATCATTGTCTGATGGTAATAATTAGGGTTCCGCAAAGTCGGATCGGATCGGATTTTATCAATATTTTGATCAGATTTTTAAAACTTTTAAATATTAAAAAATGTGCGAATATTTACGAATATTTATCGACATTTAAAGGATTTCCGCATTTGGTAAAATACCAGATAGCATTTTTTAGAACTAATTTTACAAATGAAAGAAAAAATTAAATTTTAATTCTTGTAATATTCCTTTGTTTCGATTTATTAAGCAATAAAAGTTAAATTCAAAGAAAAAACTTTATGTTTTATCATCAAGAATAATATTACTTTCTGCTAATAAATATTTAATTTCTTGAAAAATAACTAATAATTCATCACGTGTTTTCTTGTAAAATCTTTAAAACATATTTATTATTCAAGTAATTTAGATTTAGTTAAAGCAGTTTCAGTTGCAAATTCCTTGTGTTATTAGAATTGGTTGCCAAGTTTTTTGGTATTCTTTTTTCAATTACTGTGCTTCAATAGATTCAATCCTTTTGCTTGTGCAATTTAAACAAACCATTTCATTTTTTCACTTAAAATATTTTCTCTATTTAAATTTTGAAATAAACTAAAAAAAAACCATTAACACTATAACACAGATTAATAAAAATTCATAAAAATGCAGAATACCGTACCGTATTTAACGAATATTCTTAAAATTTTTTTAAAATTCGTTATCTCTAAACGATATTTTTAAAAAAATTTTAAATTCGTTATATAGTTTAGCTTCGTTACACTGAAAAAAAAATTCATTATATCGTGTATAAAAAAAGTTATTACGTATATAAAATATGTAAATTTAGTTCAATTTCATACTGCAATCGCAAAACTACATTATTATTATGAATTTATTTAATGGTGACTTACATAATTTTTAGACAAAAAATTTTGGAATTTTGGATGGCAATAAAAATAGACATATTAATATTAATAGAATTGAGACTTGGATTGGTGATCCTTCCGAACGTCCAGCTTTATGTGAATTATTATATATTACATAAGGAAAACTTTATTGTAATAGAGTATAATAATGTTATATGCTACTTAAAATTCCTGATGAAAATCAAAAATTACACAAAATTTCTGAAACACCACATCCACAATCATGTTACATTAGCAGATGGGTTTTAATTAAGTAATAATTGAAATTAAAGGTGTAATCCCATTTTATCGCCACCTTTTCTCTTTATAACTCGAAAATAATATTTTCAACAATAACTTTATTTCGAATTTATACCTCTCCTAATGAAAAGAAAATTAAGATTGATCTAAAAATTTAAAAAAAAGATTTGAAACATGTGATATTTGGCATGATGCCTTTTAAGAAAAAATTCTGGTTTTTTATTATAATTATTATTAGAATTACTAATTCTGTTGTTGTTTTTAAAACTTTTTTTTTTATTTTAAGCTTTTTTTTTTTGTTTTATCAGATTATTATCATCATTATTATTAAATTACTTATGGATTTTTTATTTTTTTTAAAACCTCGCTTCAAACACAAGCTAAAATATAAAATTCTGCGCTATTTATATTCCCGAGATCTTTGCTGTCTTTTTAAGTTTATTTTAAGAAATTGCTGTAAGGAATGAGTATGTTATAATAAAAAATCCCTTCTTAGAGAGAGAAAGCATGAACTTTTGTGTTAATCCAGAATAAATTAGAACAAAGTATATACCTTTATTCATCCATTTATTCTATTTTTTCTTAATGTACAAAACAAAGTAGAAAATCTTACCTGAAGGTGCTTATCTTATTTTGCACTCTTTTTTTTTGTCTTCTTGTGGTTCAAGAACATACGAACTTACTTGAAAAGTATCTCTTATTCCTTTAACAATTTAATTTTTTCTTATTTTATCACAAATATTCAAAGTTTCTCTAGATTCTCTCAAATAATATTGAGTACAGATACCTAATTACAAAAAATATATATAACAAAAGCCACGTTCTTCACGTGATATCTCCGATAATGATAGAATAAAAGAAAAAAATTCTAAGAAATTTTTTATAAGCCTGCAATAACATATATTTGAGTCGGGCTAAATCTGAGTCTTGATAATATGTGCACGCGAAATAGTTTTTAGGTAAATAAAATTAAATAGATTTCGTTTAATAATAAATGAGCTCTCATACAAAAATTAATTTAAGAATTTAACTCCTATTAAAAGATTAAAGCCAAAAAAAAAAGTCATGGAAAAATAGTTTTACAAAATACTAAATTTAAATAAAATATTATTAATATTTGATTCAAAATCTTATTTTTTATAACAATACCTTTATCTGTACTATTGTTTTAGGAATCAAACCAATCCAAGATTGAAATATTAGAGAATAACCATTTTTCCATTTTACTTTGAGTTTCCTATTCCTCATCAATAGGTTTTAATAATTTTTAGAACGAAAATTAAGAATTGAACCTATAAAAGTTATGCTAAAAATGATATTTATTAAGTATATATTTCAAACATATATTTAAAATGCATCTAAAACTATTAATTATATTCGAAATAGAAATGGAATAAATTTATTAGGCGAAAATTGCACAAATTTTCATCACCCGCGCAAATTTGCGCAGGTTTTTTATGCAGTTTTTCCGTTTTTTCGACTTCGCTCGCGATTTTCGAGGCACAGAGCGATTTTTTACTAAGGTATTTCTAAGATAGATAGAATGGTCTTGTTCTTGGCTACAAAATGAAATTCGTTTCCTCTCTGTAGAATCTATATTTGCGGAGATCTCTCCGTTTTAAGAAAGCTTTTGCAAAAAATCGTGCGAAATTTTCCGCCTTAGTAGAAAAGTTATTAGGAAAATCAGATCTATAGTCAATCCTCTTCTCAACCCATAGTTCAACCATCTTTCTATTACATTATCGTGATTTTGATTTATTTCTGGCGTAATCACCGTTCGATGTAATTTTTATTTAATTTGTGATGTTCGTAACGTTTGATTTATGTTTTTAGGTAGATACTTTTTTTTGAGTTTACATTTTTATCATATATTTTTTTTTGCATTAATTAGATTATTTAAAAGAATGTATAGCATCACGCTCTCTCGCTTTTAAAATTAATATATTTGAATTTTACCTTCTGATGTTATAATTTCATCACAGCAACCGTTGTTTTAAAATTAATCCAACTTCTTGAATCACTTTCTTCTATCTAAGAACCATTTTCTTGTCATATTTTATGAATATGCATATAGTAATTAAAGAACAAAACATAATGCAGATCATGCCAATTCCGAAGATTGGTTTCTCTCGTCTTTTATTTCCTTTACTTTTTAAAATAGAGAAACCACTTCAATCTTTCGACCTGATTTCTATAGCTTCCTAGTCTATTTACCTTAAATTGCACCAGTAGCTTTTCTAGCAATATAATTTTATTAATCCTTAACGTGAATTAAAGCAGATATCAGCATTTTCCTTATAATTGAATTAAACAAATTGCTTAAGACAAATAAATCTAAATATGATATCTTACCTTTAATTGGTCCCAGGAACTATGCTACGTTGCTCTACTGATATTATTTAATATATATTATCAATTGTATCAAATGTATTTGAGCATTTATTCTGTCTAATATAATTGTTATTGTTAGTAAATGTAAATTTTCATACTAAGCAAAAAATGCACACACGTATCGATGTTGGAGTGACAATCCTTCTGAACGACCAACTGCTGCTGAATTATTTAATTTATTTTTGAACGTAAGAATAAAATTCATAATAATATAATTGATAATAACATTATGCGACAACTTGAAATTGCTGATGAAAATCAAAAAAATACATCAAAATCTCAAAACAAAGAACTCTTTTCACATTTCCTCAAGCATGCTATATTGGCCGATATATTTATACTCTTCACGGATTGCATGATTTATCGGAAGAAATAGAATCCGGAAAATATTCAGGTATATTCATAGAAAAATTTCAATTTTAACAAATGATCATGATCAATTACAAATTATTTAAATTTTCGAATTTTTAAATTTATAGATCCTAATTTATTGAAATCTGATGAATTATCTACTTCAAGTGTCAATACTAATGATATTGATGAGGAAGCAAAAATTCAAAGCTAGCAAAAATATCATTGATTGGTTATGATTCTCAAAGAATTTAAAGAATAAATTGATTTATATAAAGAGAAAATTGAAATGTTCTGGAAAATTCAAAAAGAATTTCATCGTAGGAGTTAATTTTCTGAAATATATTTATTTATCTTAAAACTATTTTCGCGTGCACACATTATTTATTAAGATCAAATTTAGCGTAGCATACTTTAAATATATGTCGTTATAGGGCATCTTTTTTATTTATTTTTTTATATATGCTTTCATTATTATTTTTTTTTTGTAATTTAGTTCTAAACCTTCCAAGGTGCTTGTGTTTTTTTGCACGTAAAAGAGGGCAACATAAGATAAGTGCCTTCAAGATAAGGTGATTCAACTGTAGAAGTTGTTGGTTGCAAAACAAGACTTTATACCTCTAGACTAACAAGCCTTTCTTAAAGGTTAATAAGAACTTAATCACTATATATTTATGTATATACATATTTTTTTATTTTATGAGCTTTGCTTTTTTATTATTTTCTATTCGTTTTTTATGGCTTTTACAATTCGGGCTGGGAACATACATTATTTGTTCATTTTCATTATGTTTGGCGAAAAAATTTTGAAAAAATTATTGTATTTTAATTTTGGCTTTTTGGAATGATCTTGGTGAATTTTATTTTTTTTTTTCGCGTTGGAAACTTTTTGCCATAACCATAGTGTCAAGTCGCTGTATCAAGTCCAAAAGTTATGAGATGCACTTTGCGATATGATCAATTTGTTTCTTTGTCGATCAAAATTTCATTTTTTGAATTAAATAAAATAAATAGTTCAGTGTCATAAAAATAAATTTTTATTTTCGGCGCGAAGAAATAATAAATTTACCTGTATCAAATTTATTGACTACATCTTGACCTGTAAATATTATACAGCATATTTGATCTATTTGTAATAATAATGATCTTGACAATTGATTGTTACAATTATTAATTATAACTTTTACTTGAGGATTGAAAGTGTAGCATTTAGCTGGTTGATATAATTGAAAAGCATTATTATCTAGAAAAGGACATTATAAATATGATGAATGTCGAGATGAAAGGTAGTTAAATTGATGTAGGTAATATTTTTAAATAAAGAATATTTTAGAAAATATACAATAAATAAAAATAAAAATATAACTAAATTCTGACAATATTTAATTAAATATAAATAAAAATTTTTAATAATAATAACAGATATAATTGATATAATCCTTTGAAAATTTAAGAAATTTCAGTTTCGAATTGAGAACACAATGTGATTTTTACTACTTTGCAAATTTATAAAAATTCTTTCAATAAAGATAAATTACTTTGCTATCGACTTAGATTTTTTAAATGAAATTAATTTCTAAAATAATTTGGGCACAAACTATTTTTACAATACAGTCAGCTCTCTCTAAATGAACCCCCTAGGGACTGACCATAAGAGTGCATTTAAAGAGGGCATGCATTCAAAGAGAGTAATTTTATAAGTGTTATTAATGATTGGGATTTAAGCGTCGAGCGCATTAATATGGAGAGTGCCCTAATGGGGGATGCACTTAGAGAAAGTTGGCTGTAGTTTGTTTATCTTTTATAAAAGATCTTCTCAAGTGTTAAAAAATAACAATTTAATAGACTTGGAATCCATCATCAATCCAAGTATAAAAAAAAAAAAGAGAAATCAAGTAAGTAATATTAAAAAATCTGTTTTAACATAAAGTCAATATTTTTTGAATCCAAGAAAGAAACCAGAAAGAATATAATAAAATTCGAACTCAAGACTTAAGAAAATATATGCTACTAAAAAATAATGACTATTTATTGAATACTTGGTACAGTGGGTGATCAAAAATCACCGGACAGTTGAAAATTTTTAAAAAAATTACTAAAATTAAAATGCTAATTGTACCACAACGAGTGATCTAATTTGCACAAACTTTTTTTTATTAGATT